TGATTCATTAAATGTTGAATAAATACTTCCTGAATGAAATGTTGGTCATTTAGGTGACAGGCACGAGATTTTCAGCATGAGATCACCAAATGGCAGGAACTATAGGTACTGTTCAGTTTTCCTGCATTTTCCTGCAATCTTCTATGTGGAGGTAATACACAGGCCTGAAGGTTGGCTTTCTAGGAGCATGGGGTGGAAGGAACTGGGAGATCCACTGGTCAATGTGTGATGTTCATTTCATCTGCCAGTCTCAGCTGCAACACCCTTCTGTACCTCCTGTCCGAATCTGGATTACTTAGGATTCATTTCTCTAGGAAAGTAAACCCTAGTCTCCAGAAGAGTAGAATTAACAGCCTCATTATTCCTAAAGAGCTGCAAATAATTCTTAAATGAGATTCAGTTATTCTTTTCCTGGAACTTGCCTGAAGACTTCAGGGTGAATGTAATGAATTTGAGGACCATATGTGACTGCAATTTTCCATCATGCAAAACCATGTAATTTTAGTGGAGCCCTTTCTCAACTGGTGCCAGAGTTTGAAGCCGTGATAAGAAGTACTGGAAGGACACATTCCATGATCTTATTTCCAGTATCCAACAACATCACTGTTTTCTCACCAGCCATTTCCTCAGTGGTCAAGAGGTTTCAAAGTGGCTTGCAGACTACCAGTGTCAGAATCACCTGAGAAGCTTGTTAAATGCAGATTATCTGTAGTCTACCACTTTCCTTCTGAATCTGAATACTGGGTTGTAGGTCCTCAGTGATTCTTTTGCATAATGACCACCACCAGTAACAATAATTTAATCAGGCATCCAGCCATGTATTCAGTTACTTGGAATTCTAAACTGACTAAACATAGTTGTATGTGGCCTTTTGAGATTTATAGCAGAACAAAAAAATAAGGAAGAAAAAGACAAGAATGCACTATTCCTTCAAAATTTCTAGTTTTGGGAGGTCTTTGATGGTCAGAGTATTGTTTCTATGGAGACCATTTTTGCACCAGTGCATGCTGATCCTGTACCAATAAGATAAGCATGGAAAATAATGCCCTCAATTCTTCCTAACAATTGTCCAGGCTGGTGGACACCTCTAGCCATAATGTCCTCATTTTGGGTTTATTATGTACCTAAAATTTGCTCGAATCATATTGATAACAAAACATGCTAACACTTCCTTCAAGATAATTATGAAGATCTAATGCAGGGTAAGAAATTCTATAATAACTGCTGATTAATTTCTTCCATTCTTTTTTATTCCCCCCTGCTTCTCTTACTCCCATTGTGTCAGGAATGTCTGGTAAGGAATGCAGAAGAAAACTCTATTACCATCAATATAGCGTAGGATATTTCTAAAAATGAGGAGGAAAGAAAGCAAGTGGGTCTACATGGGTCTAGTCTCATACCAGACATTCTACTCAGGGGAGAGACTGCATGGCATACTTAGGAGAAGCTGTTACATGAAAGGCAATGTCCTTTGGGAAGGTAACCTTTTACAGATCACTGTGGGGCCTGGATTTCTGGCACCCAAGTCAGAAAAGTTTTCAAGAGAATAGGAGAACATTGAGGGTTATTTCTAGAATATTGTCATCTGATGCTGATGGCCTATATGTCCTATTATCCCAGCTCATCACTATGGAGAACTTCCCATCATGATTGAAAAAGGAAGTAAAAGGATATTTAAAACAAAGAAATGCTCCAGCCTGATCTTGGAAGAGGGTAAGGTTACGTGGACACCTATAGTGATGGCAAATCCTAAGCATGTGGTTTCCAGGGAGCTGACTCTTCTTTCAGGCTAAGTGCTAGCATTGGTACTATTGAAGAACTGTTTCATTTGCTGTTGCTTAATCAGATAAAAGTTTGTTCTGAGTCTTAGAAGCGCATCCACCATCCATTCCATGTCATTTTCATAAAGGCAGCAACATTGATAATTCTCAGGACTGGCTCTGTGTTTACTATGTACCTAACTGACACAGATTAACTTAAATTCTTTATTACGCTGAAAGCAGAGAGTAGTATTTGATACATTTTAAAAAAGGATTTACATGAAAAAAGTTGAAATAAATGATATGCTGATAAAGAAGTTTCTCTATGCTGCAACCTTTAAGTGGCATTTCTCAAGGAGGCTGGTTAAAACAAACATTTCCTATAGTCTCCAAACTCTGGATCAGAATTGCCATGACAACATTTTAGTGACATCTACATGCTTACCTGTGGAAAAGATCTCACATATTCAGCAAATCTCTCTATTTCTACCCTGGTTAACAACGTCTCAGCGCAGTATGTATTACAGTGGTACTACTGAACCAGCAACAGATCTGTTCCCCTACATTTGCCACCACCAGAGGAAAAGTAGAGCAGCCAGAATGAACAACTCCCCAAAGGAGAAAGTATTAGATTGACAATAAGAAGCACTGATACATGGTACCCGCTCCTCTACCACCTAATTTCACAGTTGTTGTCCACAGTGATTCACTCATCTGTGAAATAAGGGAGTAGACAGGCAAGATCTTGAAATTCCCTTGGGTTTCCAACATGCTTCTGCCAATACAATGAAATAAAATAAAAGTACTTCCAAATTTGATTAGCAAGTTAAATATAAATATACTGGTTATATATTAATGTGTAACAAATAACTCCAAAATTTAGTGGTCTAAAACAGCAATAAACATTTATTATATTATACAGTGGAGACCCAGGAATTCAGGAAAGGCTTAATAGAGCAGTTCTGGCTCAAAGTCTTTCATAAGGTTGAAGTCAAGATGTCTCCATGGCTGCAGTTATCTGAAGGCTTTACTGGGGCTGGAGAATATACTTTTAAGGTGCTTTACTCACATGTCTAGCAAGCTAGTACTGAGGGGTTGGCAGGAGGCCCTCAGTTCCTCACTACGTAAAATAGTCCATAAGACAGCTTAAGTATCTTCCCAGCATGGCTGTTGACTTCCTACAGAGCAAATGACCCAGGAAAGAGCAAGTCAAAATCTTCAATATTTTTTATGACTTAGCCTGGTTACAGTGTTAGATGGGACTACACAAAGGGATGAATACCAGGAAGTAAGAGTCATTGAGGTCACCTTGGAGGCTGGTGATCACAATACATCAAGTTAGTAACAAAAAAGAAATGGTCTTTATTATATTAACTACTCAAAAAAAGTCATATTTAACTTTTTTTTTAAAGTTAGAAATGACAACATGACAGTTATGTATTTAATATATCTGAATATTGTGAAGCCCCAATGCATTGAATCAAATTGAAAATGATCATTTGTCAATGATCTGCTACATCCATCTTTTCTTTTGTACTAAATTGGTACTAGTGTCCTTAGGGGCATCTCTAAGTAAAAAGAGCAATAGCTAGTTCCTTTTCTCCCACAATGCATTCAAACACTTTGCTGGCAGATGAATAGCAAGTAACTCAGGGAGGCAACTGGTAGGGAGAAATGAACTCTGACCAACTGTTAAAGCTGGAAAACTCACAATCAGCCCATAACATGGTCCCTTTAAAAGATCCCAGTACAACAGCTAACATGTATGTATTGCTACCATTTTTTCCATGAGAATTCTAATTTTTAAACTTTTGTCTCACTGTCCAGATGTAGGTCAAAGAACATAAATCTGATCAACAAGCCTAAATTCAAATTGTTACAGTACCATTAAGTAATCCTGGACAAGTTAGGTAATCTCTGAGAAACTCAGGTTTCTTATCCAATGTGAATACACACACAACATGTGGCCCAATGTCTGGTTTTGAAAATATGATTGCTGAATACATTCTCTCTCCCACCTTTCAGCTGCCCTTCAGTTATCTGTTCTCCTTTTCTAAACCTTGTGCTAGTCTGGATTTTAGCACCAAATAATCTTGGAACCTTGGAAAAATCATTTAACTCCAATGAACAGATTTCCTCATTTGTAAAATAACAATATAATTTGTACCTTAAACACCTCACAGTCTTAATCTGAGGATTATATTAAAATAATGAGTGTTATCAAGAGCTTTGTGAACTGTAAAGTCCTGATGGGGGAACTTTTTCAATTTTCTCCCCAAACTACCAATATATACAGAAGTCTTTTTTTGTAATTATAAAGGCAATATCTGCCTTATACACAGTTTAAAAAACTCTCAAAATGTTAATCTAGTAATTAAAACCAGTTGTACATATCCCCATGACTCACATGTAAAAAATAAATAATCCATTAATATTCCAAACTGTATTTTACTTTAAAGAAACTCAGTAAAAAGCAAATAAAAACTTTATTATGGGAACTTTCAATTTTATATGGAAGTATAAGGACAGTATTATGAACTCTCACATACCCATTTCCCAGATTCAACAATTATTAATCCTGTGTTATCTAAACTCTACACCTCATCCCCAATTATTTTTAAAGCAAATCCCCACACAATAAGCCCATTCATAAAGATATACCTCCTAAAGATAAGGATTTTTAAAAGCATAATCACGAAACTACTATCACGTATTCTATTTTATTTTATTTTATTTATTTTATTTATTTTATTTTATTTTATTTTATTTTATTTTTTTATTTTTTTTAGGCCCCCGCGGCTCACTTCCCGTCCCGACGGCGGCGGGGGCGGCGATACAGCCCGGCAGCGTGCGCGCCAGGCCTGCCTACTATCACGTATTTTAAAAACAACAATTTCTTAGTATCAGCAAATACCCAGTCAGTGTTCAGATTTTCTCGATAGTCTAATCGTTTCATATATTTTCATAATCACACGTTAAACCTGACTCCATCTGGGTTAAGACTTGTCACTCCTTCATCCTCCGGGGCCGGGTGCTTCCCTAGTCGTTCCCCTTCCCTAAAGTCCGGCTGAAGTGACTCGAGTTTCTTCCAGACCCCGCAGAGGTGGGAAGCACCTATAAACTGCTAGAGGCTGTACCGTGAGGAACTGAAGTTGCGCCTCCCCTTTGAGTGCCGGAGGGAGCTCTTTCTCAATTGCACTGAGGTCAGTCTCCGCTCACGCGATTGGCAGCGAGCACCGGAAGCGTTTGGGACCTGCTGCCCCGGCAGAGGACTGCACCACGAGACGCGCCGACGGGCTCGGTTTCGCGATTCCCACCTGGACTGAAGCCGCTAGGAACCCGTACCGCGGCAGCGATGGAGCGAGGCGCAGGAGACCGCACTGCCAGCTCCCTGTTCGCGGGGTTCCGGGCTTTGGGGCTTTTCAGTAACGACATTCCTCACGTGGTGCGGTTCAGTGCGCTGAAGCGCCGATTCTATGTGACGACCTGCGTGGGCAAGAGCTTCCACACCTATGATGTGAGTGCCTTTTTCCTTCGCATACTTCCCGGGAAACACCCTCCCCGGCCCACAGCTCTGTCCTGGGAAGATCCGGCTCTCCTCCCCGACCTACCAAGGGCTTTCGCTACTGCATCACATCCACGTGCTGATTTAGCCCTTGCAGTCCACTTGGGACGAGTTTCGGAGGCAGTCTGGCTAGGGAGAGGTACTGCAGAACATTTCAGTTCTATGGCAATACGTTTGCTCAGCAAATACTGAACTTCCCTTGAGGTTGTAAATGTGATTAAGAACAGTCCCTAGCCCTGCCCCTTCCCCCATTCTGAATTATACTTGCAAGCCATTTTATTGTGCAGTTCGCGACAAGAGCTGGGTTAGAAATTCGTCTTAAACTTCATTGGGAGACCTGGAGGTGGTGAGATTAATTATGATTTAGGGGACTGTCCACATTTGATAACAAACTAATTTCCCTAATCTTTCCTCTGAGCGTCTATTTTCTACCAATGTTGAGGGTCTGACACGGTGCCACTTACTCTAAGCCTTGCAGCAGTTTCTTTGCAAGAAGAATGTTTGTCATTCTGTAGCACCTTTATATAAACTAGGAAACTAAATCTCAGAAAAAAAATATTACTTGCCCAAGGCCTTCTGCTTGTTAGTGATGGTTTTTCTCCTTTATATGTCTCATCAGTCATTGAAATAGCCTTTTGTTGCTATGTATATTGTTTCTTTTGTCTTCAAATGAATGTGTGCTCTGTGAAAGAAGGGACTTTTTTATGAGAAGGAGGGCGAGAATAGTCAGTGTTAAGTGCTTTTTCTGGAAACTGTGATGTACAGTTGTATTCCTTGAAGGGTTGTGAAAATCATATGGGTTATTAACAAGAAGAGCTACTTGTTGACAGCCGATTGTTAGTGGGAGAGAAAGTGAGGAAGAGAAAGTGAAGGCCATCCCCAGGATGAAGATGGTGGTGGTGATAGCTGCTAATGTTTATTGAGCATTTACTGTATTCTGTTCTGTTTTACACAAATTTTACTCATTGAATCCTCATAATAATCCCTTGAAGTAAGTACCTATTTTGATCCTTATGTTACAGTTGAGGCACTTGAGGCACAGGGAGGTTGAGTAACTTTCTGAAAGTCACACAGCTGAATCAGTAACCATAGATGAGGGTCCACAAACTACAGCCTGCAAGCCAGTTTTGCCACCTGTTTATTTTCGTATGACCCATGATACTAAAAAAAATTTATTTTTCTATGTGTTTGTGTTTATTCTAATATAGCATAATTTTCAAGTAAAATTTGCATAGAAGTAGGATGCAGAATAATCACAATTTTTGTGTGGGATGGAGATACTCGTCTACTCCCATTTGAGAAACAGATTAACTGCTTTTTAAGAGCCCTTTCAGCCTTACATTCTTACATCTCTGTGGTTTGAATTTCAGTTATGCCCATCTGAGCTCTGTGCTTCTGAGATGGATAGTTTTGACAATTTTAAATGTTTGGGAAATGAAAGAATAATATTTTATGGCATATGAAAATTTTGAAAATTATATTTCTGTATCCATAAATCAAATTTATTGGAATATAGTCAAGCACACTTATTTATCAAAGCACACGTTTTGCTTTTGTTGTTGTTTGTTTTATGAAGGGGAGGTAATTAGGTTTATTTATTTATTTCTATTTGGAGGAGGTACTGGCTGTTGAACCCAGGACCTTGTGCATGCTAAGCATGCGCTCTACCACTTGAGCTGTACCCTCCCCACCAAGCACATTTGTTTGTGTATTGTATGTGCCTGTATTCATGGTATGTTATCAGTTGAGTAATTGCAGCAAAACCCACAAAGCATACAGAACCTTAAAATATTTACTATATAACCCATATAAAGAATTATATGACACCTACCCTTCCATCACCACTCCTGATGAAATACTTGAAAATATAAGTTTTTCTAATAATGAAAATTAGGATCAGTAAGTATCTTTTTAAGGAAGGCCAGCATAGCAAATTTATGTATGAGGTTAAATCTTCACATGTTAGATTATTATAATTGTTTTTGTTAGTGAAAATTTAATCTTTTTTTTTTAATTTTAAACAGGTTCAGAAACTTAGTCTGGTTGCAATAAGTAAGTATAGACTTTACCCTGAATTTATGCATGTTTGGTATCGTTAAAATTTTTTTTATTTAAAATTTAAAAATCTATACTTAAAATAAGTCCAGAACAGAATCCTGTATTGCTTTCGGTTATCAAGTCTCTTTCATCTTTAATCTAGACTAATTCATCAGACTTTCTTTGTGTTTCACAACCCGGATATTTTCGAAGAGTATATAGGCTAGTTCTTTTTCAGCATATTCTTCAAATTCTTTCTTGATGATTATAGATTCAGGTTATTCAGTATGAGAAGAATAACAAAGAAATGATGCTAAATTCTCAGTGAGCCATATCAGGAGGCAC